GATTTACTTTTTTTTATAAATATAACTAGAAAAAGTGAAAAGTGAAAGGAAAAAAAAAACAGAGCTTGAAGTGAAAAGAACATTTGCAGCAAATGAACAAAAACATGAAAAGTGAAAACGTAATTCAAAAGTAGAAATTCCACCCGTACCCACACCCGCTGATTTTTTTTAAAAAAAGTTCAACCCGCCCCGCACTCGCATTGACTGAAACCTGCACTGCCCCACATTGATCTAAACCCGCCCCGCTCCGCACCCACCCCACCCCATTGCCATCCCTAATCTTTTCCTATGGTTCTCCTAACCGATCGGCTAACCGGGAATTTATCATCACCTAAGTCCCAAGGAGGCAGGTTGGAATGTACGGGGGTAGGTTAGCGTCTCGTCCTACGAATGATAGCCTTTGAAGGCCACCAGGAACTTGGAGTTGGCGCCCACATAGCGGATTGCTTGCTTACCAAGCCATCCTGGCTTTTCACTCCTCTCCTTACAATCAAGTTACTTTCACTCATCCCAAACTCAAATTTCCTTAATTAGGATAGGTACCTCACTTCACATATGAAATTATTGATGGTCCAGGTTGAGTTATTCCGAAGTTACTGTTACAATAACATTTGTTCAAGCACCCTCAATTGGATGATGCTGGTTGAGCTACGGGATCACTCAACAAACACTTATTTCTAATATATCTTGAAAATTGTTTAATACTATGGGGTAGGAAATGTGACATTGCTAAGGTTTTTGAATCTTTTTCTGCTCTTGAACATCTCCGGTTGAATGCCCATAGTAAATGTGCTTCATCACTTCACTGTACTACATTTTTTCCCGGCATTGAGTCATCCTGAATTTTGTCACGTTTTCCTAATTCATGGCTGCACGAAGAGGTAAAATGTCGACAAGGCTTTCCTTTCATGATCATTGTGGAAAATATCTTTGCGTATGTATGTATGTATGTATCTTGATGAATTGGATGTAGTCTTGTGTTTTCTTTGCTTTATAAGATACTTTCCTTTACAATATATTGAAATTGAAGTTCTCAATCATTTGGATCTTTCCTTTTTCTTTCTTATTTTCATACTTATTAAAGCAACTTTCACATATAACAAACGTAAAAATTATATTTATATGCTATAGCTATAGTTTGTATAATTGCGTTCCATAGCAAACTTTATGTTTGCTATGACTATTAATCTGTATATTTGGTATACATATACATAAAAAATCTGTATTTAGGTCTATTTGTATATTTCGGTATACAAATGGGTCCAACATTTGTATATTTCGGTCTATTTGTATATTTCGATATACAAATGGATCTTGCATTTGTATATTTAGGTCTATTTGTATATTTCGGTATACAAAATGGGATGGCAAGAACATGGAATGTTTGCTGCGAATTACAAATAAAAGAAACTATGACTATAGCTTTTGATTTGAATTAATAGTTTGTTATTTCATACAATTTTCCCTACTTTTTATCCTCATAAAGTTAAGAGAGATCGGTTTTTGGTTATCTTTGGTTACAGGTTCGGATAAACCCAATAGCTTTTGTCAAACCTTTAAAATTTTACATAGTTTGTATGTCATGAAAAAAAATCAACCAAAGATTGTTGTTTTATGTGAATCCTATGTAATGATTATACATATTGCTTTCCTTCTTGCCTCTGATCTGTATATTATTAGTTTTCCTGTTATGAAAATGTAAGGTAGCCTAAACGCTAGCTTTAAATTTACAAAATCTGTTACTATTTGTGGTATTGTGAATTAACGTTCCGAAGAAGCACCCAAAGAGTTATAAAATCCAAAGTAGTGAGACTAGCAAGTTCCATTCTCACTCTTCCTTCTCTAGTCGATTTGTTTCATATCTTTTTTATTTCATTCAAATATGAGTTCCAGCAGCAATAAAGGAGTTGGAATGCCTGGTAATGAATCAGCAAAGCAGAAAACTACCTCCGAAACATTTGGGGTTGATGAGATAAATGTAGGTGTTGGAGATTTGGGCATCAAATCTGATCAAAATGATGAATGGCTTGTGTGTGCTAGGGAATCCAAGAACAATGACGGAAGTAGCAGTGCTGGGAAGAAGCAATGGATTCCTCAGAATCCCACTTCAAAATCTTGGGGTCATTCAGATTTTATTCAGAAATTGGGAATGCGTAGCAATGTTGGATCATCCAATTCCCCCGTTTCTGATGATGATGTTATGGCCCGTGAATCTGATAGGGAGGATGATGAATTGGATTTGCCTGATGATGACAGTGATGAAGATGAATTTCTGAGTGGTGATGACTTTGATGATCACTCAGATGGGAAAGAAATGAGTTTTGAGGAGCGCAGGAAAAGTCATTGGTTTAAGAAGCTTTTTGAATGTCTTGACAAGTTGACTATTACTAAGATTAATGATCCTGAACGACGGTGGCCCTGCCCTGCCTGCAAAGGTGGTCCAGGTGAAATTATGTGGTTTACAGGGTTGCAATCGTTGGTGCTCCACACAAAAACGAAAGGTGGATCAAGGATTAAATTACACAGAGAGCTCGCTCAACTTTTGGCGGAGGAGCTGCGTTTGAGAGGAACTACTGTGGTTCCTGCAAGTGAGGTGTATGGACAATGGGATGGTGTTGAATATGAAGATAAGGAAATTTTGTGGCCACCGATGGTGATTATCATGAACACGGCGCTTGCGAAAGATGACAATGAAAAGCGGATTGGAATGGGAAATCAGGAGCTACGCGAGTATTTCAGCTCTTGCACTCTTATCAACTCTGTTCGACATTCATATGGTCCACAAGGTCATCGTGGCAGCAGTGTATTGATCTTTGAGGCCACTGCTATGGGATACATACAGGCTCAGGTTCTCTGTGAACAGTTTTCTGTAAAAGGAAGAGATAAGGATGCATGGGAACGTAATCCAGTTTGCTTTTATCCCGGGGGAATACGTAAGCTTTATGGTTACATGGCAGAGGAAAAAGACATGGAGAACTTCAACCAACATTCACATGGAAGAGCAAGGTTGAAGTTCGAGATGAAATCATATAATGAAACTGTTCGAGATCCAGCGATGCAGATGTCGGAGGATAATCAACAGCTTGTATGGTTCAAGACGGAAGCTGCTAAGATCAAAAAATTATCTAAAGCTCTTGAGGAGACTCTTACTCTGGTGAGTGAAAAGCACCGTCAGACAGTGGAAGAGAACAAGATCGTTAGGATGAAAATGAAAATGCACTGTGAACAGAACAAGGAAGAGATGGAGTCTCAACAGAACTTTTTTAAGGATCAAATTAACATGTTTCTCAATTCCGGGACTGCTGAGGAGGACAAATCCGAGAAGATACAACAGGAACGTTGTGATATTTTCCAACAATCTTTTGCAAATGCTTTCCCAACGATTGAGGATCATCGAGTTAGGGCAGAGAAAGCTGAGAATTTTGTCAAACTTCAGGACAAAGACATGGAGGAGTTTGTAGCTGAGAGGGAAAATCTGATTAGAGCTCATGAAGAGAGGAAACACAAACTCTTGGAAGAGGCAATTGCAATTGAGAAGAGATTCGACTTCGAACTGGCTAAGCTTGTGGAGAAGTTCTACTCAAAGCAATCTAAGCAGGTTTAGAGTATATTTCAGCATTAAATTTCTTATCATGTGTTATGCTGATGCTAAAGAAATAATTTTAGTACCTATATTAAAATTTATCAATTAATATATGCCTTGAACTTATGATGTTTTATTTGTTTTTGGGTTTTGAAATCTGTATGTCACCTTATTATGATCACTTAAACGTGTGGCTTTTCTTGTTAATTGAAGGATTTTGCAGTATATCTTTGCTAATTCCTTTCTGACTTTACTAAATCTTCCAAAATTTCTTTAGATCAACTTGGTAAATTGATTAATACAAGTATACTAGTTTCTCCTATAATTTGTGAAATCAGATAGCGTTTATGATCGATTTACCTACATTTGAAAAAAAAAGAACGTTGGACTTAACCTCTTAAGGTAATTTAGATTGAAGATGCTGCCTGCTTGGTTGGTACTTATGTTGCAGCTTTATTTCTAGAACTGTAATCATCACTTACTACTCTAGAGTAAAAATAATAAATTTACCAATACGTGAGGAAGATGTGAATTAATACATCAGATAACACTTTGACGAACGACTAAATGTAATTTCTTGTAAGTTATGAAAGAATACTGTCAATTACAAAAGTTAAACTACAAACTTTGGAGACATCAAACCAACAGAATTAACATCAACACAAAATACGGTCTGTCAGTAGTGCTTTTTTGATCCTACAGAGCTGTCAATTGCAGAACGCTCTAACTGAAGGCTAACAAGATTGGGGATTGGGTATCAACAGACAGCTTAAAGATACACCTCGATAGCTTCAAATGTGTCAATGTTGTAAATATGTTATCAGGCAACACATACCATCTGCAGTATATCTTAACATGAATTGAGGGGTCTATAAAAAGCTGCCTTAGTGTACTTTGAAATAAGGAGTTTTTTTCATCAAAATGTGCAGCCTTGACAGAGTTTTTGTGAGAATTTGAATGAATGGGGACGGTTTGTATAGGAGTGGAATTTGGAACTACAAATTGTTGAGAAAGGAGAAAAGTATTAGGGAAATGGCCAAATGGCTGAATTAAACGGTAAGTAATATATACTCCTCTTGTCCCAAAATAAGTTTCATCATAGGAATTCAAGACAAAATTAGTATGTTTTTTCATGTTTACTCTAGTGTTAAAGAACTACTATACTTCCAATTTATTATTTTCATTAATGGGTGTGAAATGAGCTAAAGTGACACTTATTTTGGGATGGAGGAAGTAGTAGTATATAACTTGTATAACTTCTTCTCGTTCACAACGCCGTGTTGCCAAGTGTTCCCCTTTTCTCTTAAATATTGTCGCTATAAATATGGGAACTACTACTTGCTAATAGCCACATTCTATATAGATATATATATATATATATATATCTGTAGAGAGAGAGAAAGAGAGAGAGAGAGAGATGGATGATGGTAATCTTGTTGGTTCAGGAAATGGAGGATCTCATAGCTATCGTAGATCCCCACAACCAACCCCTGCCCGTTCCCCTTCACCTGGTATGCTACCTAGCTTCTCTTTTACTTCTACAAATGCATTCTCCTTCCGATGGAACATCCGTGAAACTTTGTATTTGCTTTATATATTTGATTTTGATATGCTTACTCGAGTCGAGTGTCTCTATTAAGAACAATCTCTCTACCTTCACAAGGTAGGGATAAGGCTACGTGCACATCACTCTTTCATTGTGAAGAGGATCTTGTTCTTTTCAGGAGAGTAAATTATTGTTCTTTGACCCAATAGTTTTAATCCATTCCTCGGAATTTTTTGTTCTCTTTTATCCCTGTTGAATGTGTATATATATATCAGTTGATCTGGTAAAAATGGAGAGCTGCAACTTGTATACGTTTCTTAGCTTGCTGTATCATCATCTTTAATTAGCCAAGGACTATATATGCATATTTTTTCCATATATATATATATTTGCAAAGCTAGTTTTTTATATATCAAAGATCAATGGATCGATTCATGGTAATGGTGATCGATACGGCCATTTCTGGTTTTCTCTTGAAACTGTAAAGACAAAATGGAAACAAGTGGCATACATGCAAACTTTTTAACCTATAGTATGTCCTGTCTACCCTTTTTTTACGCGTGTCTCCCCTCGAAAAACAAAAATTAAAAGAGAGAGCGAGAAACATACTGTCTAAAGGTAGCAAGTTTGAGAGCCAGCTAGTTGTATTGCACAAATTAAAGGCTTTAATTTTGGCATAAAAATTACCTTAAGATCTGAGGAGATCTCCTATATATATATACTCTGCTTTTTCCATAAATTAAAATACATTTTTTAAGAAGTTAATTAAAATGTAGCTAGAATTTCTTTATCCATAGTTTAAGAAGCATAACATATAAACTTTAAGAACAAATAGTACTACAAATATAGAATATATGAAAACAGTGGGTAGATTAGTGTCCGTTACAATAAAATTTTGTCATATTCCTATATCAGAGGCAATTTTGGATATATGTGAGGGTCAGTTGAAGATCAGACAAAATAAGATAGATGATGAAAACTATATATGAAGCGTTATATGTCACTTTAATTAGTTTGTATTCACACCGGCCATATATTTTGTTGAAATAATATTTGCTTTTGGTGTTTATATGAATATTGTCCAAAATTCATAGTGCTGTCTTACAGTAGTATTACTCTCATATCCATCTAATAATTAGTGAAACATATATATCTGTGCGCCATTAGTTTTGTAATTTCTTCAATACTTGAAAATGTGATTTGATGAAAGTAGACGAATATTTTGATGATATATACAATACTTCTTTTTCATTTCACTCTGATGCTTTGTTGTTGTGTAAAATTAAGATATGGAGATGAGCCTGGAACTGCCTGCTCATCTCTACCAGACAATTGCTGCCAATGTAGAACATTATGAACGCACCATTCGGGAGCAAGACCGATTCATGCCAGCAGCAAACGTGATCAGAATCATGCACAAGATCCTTCCTCCCCATGCCAAAATATCTGATGGCTCCAAGTTGATCACCCAAGAATGTGTCTCTGAGTTCATAGGCTTCATAACAGGTGAAGCCAACGATTGTTGCCAGCGTGATCAGCGCAACACCATCACCGCTGAAGACGTGCTTTGCGCCATGGACAGGTTTGGTTTTGATGACTACGTTAGAACCTTGGCTTTGTACTTGCATCGTTATCGTGAGTATGATGGTGGTCGTGGATCCACAAGAAGGGAGCCTTTGTTGTTAAGGCGTTCAATGGTTAGTCCAGCTTCAGTCTACAGCATCACGCCCTATCAGGGGGATGCATCAAATGGAAACACTTCTCAAGGAGATGCTGTGGATATTAAAGTTGAGTCTCCTGTGAAAGAAGCTAAGGAGTGATCAGTTTTTCTGCTGAAGGAATTAAGCTGTTGTTGAAACTTCAACAGCAGTGAAGAAATTAGACTATCTTTTCTCTGTTACCTAATTTGCGACCTATTGACAATCTAGGATTGTTCTTAATTTTGCAAAGTTTAGGAATGTTTCTTTCGAACTAAGTGAGCCAAATCATGGCCCCTCCAATTGTCTGTTTGTTTGTCTATTTTCAGTATTCGGTTGGTGATTGCTTGTGACTTCCATTCGCGAGTATATGGAAAATAGCATGCAATGGAAGATTTTGAAACTTCAACTCTCATGAATGCTCTGTCTTTTAAACTCATGATCTGCTCGCTTTTTCCCATTCAATATCCTCTATTTTAATCTCATGATCATCTTTCCCTTTCGTCTCTTCGTCCCATTCAAAGAATTAAGTTTTCCAGTCTCATATCTCCAAGTATTTCAGATATATCTCTATCACATGATTGATGAACAGAGTGTTTTCATAATTTTCTACACAAACCATATAGTGAACTGTCCATTATTGGCAAAGAAAAGAGAATATACATATCAATACATTACATATGACCATTTTGTTAAAAATATTTTTTATTCCCCATACATATTGGTAAGTATCCCTATTTAAGAAAGTGTCCCTTTTCTGAAAATACTATCAGTTGTGGGTAAGTATTATTATGGCAGGGCTGGAAAACAGGTATATTATTGCTGTAAAATATGATCAATATACTACGAGAAATATAGACCAGAGATATGGAGAGTAGAATGTATAGATCATCTTATTTAAATGTCTTTATATCTCTCAAAAACCGGTGAAAGAACAACCATATATATAGGCTGAAAAATCACTCCAAAGGTCACCTTGTTAAGTGTAATAAATAGATGCATTCAAATAAAAAATGGTTCATAGAACCTAAGGAATATACATACACGAATATAAGTAGTTCATGTATTGAGAATATGAACAAAATCACTAATTCAATGAATTTATAACATTGAATAAGTGCCTATTGGTTTTCTGCCTTCTACTGCTACTAGCAAAGCAACTATTTATAGCTCTTCAATTCATGTTCAATCAAATAGTTTTGTCAAATATAAAGTATTTCAGAGAAGAAGTATGAGTCTATGCGAGGTAGCTAGTGATGTAACGAAATCAACAACTATTGGTGATTTACCTAATGACATACTTCATAGAATACTAGAGAACATGCCCATCAAAGATGTCGTAATAACAAGCATTTTATCAAAGCAATGGCTACATATATGGTCCACACTGCCACATCTTGTGTTTGATCACCTGTTCTTTGATCATGTTGGGGCTTCTGCTGCTAGCATAATCCGTAAAATTCTAATGCAACATACTGAAAATATTCGGGGATTCCATCTTATATCAAAGTCACACACACTTTTACAGTCAGATGTGGATCAATTCATCATGTTTGTCTCGAATCATGGTGTCCAGAAGTTCACTCTAGATATGGACACTGATGGAAAATATGTGTTGCCTGATAGCATATTCACTTGTTCAACGTTGACACATTTGAAGCTATCGAGGTGTATCTTTAATCTGCCTGTTGAGGCCCAATTCCCCAATCTTGTTAGCCTTCAGTTGAAACTTTTTTCAATTGACCATCCTGTTGGATCAAATAACGCAACTCTTATTCTGCCAATGCTTGAGACATTGGAGTTAATGTGTTGTTTTAATGCTCATTCTGTTAATTTGGTTTGTCCAAAACTTGTGAACTTGTCTATCCTTACCAGCTATACAGTTACGTTTCAGTGTTTTAATGTGAATCCATTCTTCGAAAGGATTAAGCACCTCTGCTTGGATGGCTCATCCCTAAAGGCGAGAATATCAATTAATACCTTGCAGTTTTTTAAAGAAAAAATTGCTATACTAAGTAATCAAATCTCAGATGTTAATTTTTCTTGATGTTTTTTCAGAACATAGGATCGGTTCCTGCGACAAATAGGCTTGATGTATCACTAAACTTGCAAAGCTTGAAAATTTGTGAATTGAAGATTTCTGTTAAGTGTTTTTCCTGTCTACTTTGCCTACTGCAGAATTGTCCTAAGCTTGTTGAACTCGACATATATTTACTTGAGAAGGTAAGACACATATCGTGAATAACAAGTGTTGTGGTCGAGCTACATAGGTTCAAAAGCTGTAGATTAAAGTACATCAGTTAAACATTGTTTGCCGGAAAATTATACTGTGAAATACATCAAGTATTACTTTGTATACATAATTGAATCTTGCATACCCTTGGTGAAATTTCTAATTTCGTGAATGATTGTATTATATATCTTATATGCAACCTTCATTTTCCTTATACACGAAGTTGTATTTAGTACCTCTATTAAATATTGAACAACTTTAGCGATATTTTTTGAGTTTGCTATTAGGTATAGTTCTATGTAAATGTTATGTGTATTGACTGATTTTGTTCCATATTATTGTTTCTTTTAGGTTGATGCGACACGAAATCACTCATCAGAACTGTTCTATTACTTGAAGACACATGACCAAGTGATCAGTGAAGCTCTGAGGACGATTCGAACAGTGAGGTTAAGGAAATTCAAAGGGACAGCTATTGAAATGTACTTGGTACAAGTTATCATTGATAATTCTCCAAATCTCAAGAGGATGAACATCGAAACAGTACAAGAAAAGTAGTAATGCCAAGTGAATTGATTTATTTCATATTTAAATTGAATATAATCTGCATATCTATTGGGAGTCTTTGCATAATTTCACCCCTTTTTTTTTCCGCTTGTAATCTTATCGATTTGTGAAATTAGATATCGTTCATGATCGAAGTGGACGTTGAACTTAATTAATTCAACCTCATAAGATGATTTATGAGCTCTGAGCATTCTCCAAGATCATACAAGGAGACGAAGTCTCAATCCACAACCGATGTGGACTTTAGTAGTTCATCAGAGTACTATCTGATGTATTTATTCATATCTTCCAAACGAGTCCGTAATTTTTTTTCCCCAAGAGCAATAGCAATAACTACGCCACTTCAATCTCAAACAATAGTAACTAAAATATTTAAGAAGATTTGTACACTTCAGAAGATTAAAATTAATGCAAGAACCTACATAATTGCGTATTTTTAATTTATATTGTAACTTATTCTACTGAAATATTAATTTTTTTCTATCATAAGACATTTTCTTAGATTGCTCAAACTCTTAACAAAACATTTTAAGATGTATTTTTTCATCTTATTAATACTAAGAGGATTGCAACTTATAAAAAATTCCAGTGTTGATTTTGCTAAATGAATTCAATGGGAATGACCAGACTTGGGAAGTTCAACAAAAGGTCCTTTGAAGATTGGTTTTCTTTCCTATTTAACAACTGTGCAGTAATATCCACAAATTTATGCTCATCACTCCTAATACTAAGGCAACTATTTATAGACCCTCAATTGTAAAATATTTCTTAGAAGAAGTATGGGTGAGGTAGCTAGTAAAGGAAGGAAGTCTACCACTATATATCGGTGACTTACCAAATGCCATACTACATACAATACTAGAGTTTATGCCCATCCAAGACGCTGCAAGAACTAGCGTCTTATCGAAGAAATGGATACCTATATGGTCCACATCTTGTGTTTGATCCCCTGTTTTTTCAGTATGTATCTAATATTGGTGCTTCTGCTGCAACCGTAATTTATAAGATTCTAATGCAACACACTGGAAATATTATGGGGTTTCATCTTATCTCGAGTACGTGCAAACTTGCACAGTCAGATGTGGATCAATTCATCATTTTTGTCTGCAAGCATGGTATCCAAAAGCTCACTCTTGATATTGCAAATGAAGAAAATTACATGTTGCCTAATAGAATATTTACTTGTGCAACATGGACACATTTGAAGCTCTCAAGGTGTTTCTTTAGGCTTCCGGATGGTACCCAATTTCCCAATCTTATTAGCCTTCAGTTGGAACATTCTAAAATTGCTGGTCATCAAGGATCAGAAGACATGCTTAATCTGCCAATGCTTGAAACTTTGGAGTTGGGATTTTGTGTTGGTGTTGATTCTGTTTATTTGGTTTGTCCAAAACTTGACAACATGTCTCTCATTAGCAGCTACACAATTACATTTCAGTGTTTTAATGTGAACCCAATCTTTGCAATCATTAAGCACCTCTGCCTGAATGGAACATCCCTAGAGGTGACAAAATAACCTTTGTGTTTATGTGTTTTTGATTCCTAGCTGTTCGAATTAACTAACACCACGTAATGTCACTTTTTCTTCAAATTTATTGTTTCAGAAACTAGGGTCAGTTCGTGTGCCAGACAAACTTCGCCGGCCACTAAAACTGCAAAGCCTGAAAATTTGTGACTTCAAGATTTCAGTTGAAAGTATTTCTTGTGCGTTTCGCCTGCTTCGCAATTCTCCTAACCTTTATGAACTTGAAATAGATGAGGTTGTGAAGGTAAGACATACAGTGCCTAATACTTACAGTTCTATATATATATATATACTATATCTGTTTTACATCTTATCTTTCAAAATTTGAAATTGTAAATGGACTTTTCATTGTGATGTGTTCCTTTAGTCATGAAATATTTAAAACCACAAATTTCTTATATTCTTTTTCTATTACAGTTATATAGTGTCCAGTCTAAGTATGTCGCCTAAATTGAAATGTATGTATCTTTTAAGAGTGTAGCCTCTAGGTTGACTATTATGAATATTTTTCTTCAGGCTGATGAGACATCGAGGGACTCAGCGAAGTTATTATCTTACTTATCAATGGAAGAAGACCTTGTGAATGAAGCTCTGAAATTGATTCAAACAGTGAGGTTAAGGAAATTTAAGGGATCAAGTACTGAAATGTACTTAATAAGAGTCCTCATATCTCATTCTAAAAAAATTGAGAGGATGATTATTGAACAAAGTTATAAAGGAAATGTTACAAGCTTTAAGGAACAATTGAGGGAACTTCTAAGATGCATTTATCGAGCATCACCTAAAGCAGTTAAGGTTCATTATTAACAACCTGTCTTCCCCAGATCAAGGATGTGTCAATCCAAGTGGTGTATTAAAACTTTTTTGTATAAAGTGCGTTGAGGTCATATTTAAAATGAATTGGAAGTTGATCGGTTCTACAAAAAATTACTAATTTTGTGTTTGATGTTGTCCCATTTATACTTGAATTTGCTTTGGCATATGGAAGTTGTTCCATTGTGGATGACAAAAGTTTGCATTCAATGTTGGTGAGTTTCACAAATGGTTACCCAACAACGATAAGTTCTTGTACCAAAATTAATTACACAATTTTGGTTGGACGAGAAAGACATCCTGTAAAAACTTGAGGTGCATAAAAGTTTGCTTGAACACATTAATCTACAAGTACACTTATTCAAGAAGTCGATCACCGATTCCAGTATCTTTCTGCGACCAATACTTATATATTAGGTTAGACTCTGAAGAACGTCAAGGAAGTACTAATCACTCTAAATTCTTACCCTTGTATAAGTTTTGAGAGTTGGGTTGTTGATAATCGTACTTGTAGAGTTATGTTTATATTTTCTTCACCGAATTTTATATGTAGTAAATCTCAAATTGAAGTAACAAAATTTTGTGGATCACCTCAAGCAGATATTGTCTATACAGTTGGATATTTGATCCTCTGATATGCTCTTTAATAACCATGATATTTTGGAAAATGATGTGTTTGATGTTGAAGTGACACAAGATTTTGGGATGGTTCAACTTTGTCTTGTTAAAAGACGGGACAGTGAAAATTCAAGGAAGCAAAGAAGGGAGAAAAGGGCAATTAGCAATTGATGCAGAGACATTTGAGATTACTCCAGCTTTCCATGTTGTAGAAGTGACAAAAAGAGACACTGCAGAATACAGTTTGGACATGGCAACAACAAGTGGAAAATCAAGAAATCAAAACTTAAGAGGTAAGAATATGAAACCAAAAAGAGTTGTGCAGTGATTCCAACAATTTAGAAAACATTTGCAACAAACAAATTGATTTCGAGAACATTCTCAACATGCAAGAAGTTGAAGCTTGATCGTCTGTAGAATCCCTACAACATCTTTCATGTTTGGCCTTCTTGTCGGTGATTCATCACAACAATCTAATGCCACTTTCATGATTGATGCCACAACATCTAGCTCTCTTTGTAAGCGATTATCAGTTGATGTTATCAAGTTGGCATCTACAATGTCCATTGCTGCCTTGGGAAGTGAATGATTCACCCATTGCTTCAAGCTAAGATCTCCCTCAAACTCATTAGGCTTTCTCCTGGTAAATGTTTCCAGCAACATGATCCCATAACTATATACATCACATTTTGTTGATACCAATCCATCCAGTCCATACTCTACAGTCAAAAAATTAATATAAAGATGCAATATACTTTCTTGGTGGGGAAAAAAAGAACAGGAAAAATCAATGTTCAAATAATTAGCAAAACAAAGAGACGTACCTGGTGCAATATATCCCAATGTTGCTAAGGTTTTAGTGTATAAATCACTCTCATCTTCACCAAGTAGTTTTGAAATACCAAAGTCGCTTAGGTGGGCAACCATTTCCTCATCTAGCAAGACATTACTAGGCATTAGATCTCAGTGAATTACGGGCGAGGAATAGCCATGGTGGAGATATTCCAATGCACATGCCACATCTATTATTATGCTTAGTCTTTGCTTGATGTCCAAGAAGTAGTTGTGAGAATACAAATACTTCTCAAGACTCCCATTAGGCATATACTCGAGCACTAAAGCCTTAAAATCAATGTTGGAACAACTAGTGATGACTTTTATGAGATTCCTATGGCGAAGGTTGCGCAAAACATCACATTCTGTATCGAAACTCTTGAATGCCATATCCAGTTGCAGATTAAACACTTTAACTGCAATAGCAGTCCCACTTCTGAGAATGCCTTTGTAGACAGAGCCAAAACTTCCGGAACCAATCAGATTACTCTCGCTGAGAGAATCAGTTGCTTGGAGCAATTCATAGTATGAAATTCTTCCTCTTGTTGCAATAGACAATGAATCATCTTGTTGAGGGTATTTCTTATCTCTTCTATACCTTATCCATACAAACAAAAGGGTAATAGGAACAAATACAAGTGCAACTCCCAGCATAAGAAATAGAACAAGCACTTTTTTCCTATTTGATCTATGCTTTGATGATGTGGGGCATGGCGGGACACTAAACCTTGAAGAACCACACAATGCTTCATTGTTGATGAAAAACTGACTCGAGAGGTTCTTGAAAGGACCCCCCGAGGGAATTTCACCATGCAACATGTTGACAGAAACATTGAAATACTTCATGTTTTGAAGTTTCTCCAAAGACATAGGAATGGTTCCCGATATATTGTTATGAGAAAGGTCTAGGAATTCCAAACCTACCATGTTGCTCAATGAGTCAGGTATAGATCCTTGTAACTTGTTGTGCCTCAAAGAAAGGTGCACCAGATTCTGCAATCCTCCAATTTCTATAGGAATTCCATTTGAGAATTGATTCATTGACAGATCTATCAGTGTCGCAGCCTTTAAATTTCCGATTTCGAGAGGTAAAGAACCAACCATGTTGTTTGACGACAAGTCAAGAGACAATACATCTTTAAGATTCCCTAAGCTTGCTGGTATATTGGAACTGAATTTGTTGGAACCCATATGTATCTCTCTAAGTGAAGTAACATTCCCTAGACAATTAGGAAGAGATCCTGAAAATTCATTCTTACCAAAGTAAATGGCACCCAAATGTTGCAGTTTACATAGACCATCTCCAATAAATCCTGAAAGTTTATTGTTGTGCAAGTAGAGGCGCTGAAGGTTTCTCAAGTTACGAGTTGATGTAGGAATTGATCCAATCAAGTTATTATTAGAAAGATAAGGTCTAATAAGGTGCTTAAGTTCCCAACTTCATTTGGAATTCTCCCTTTAATTTGGCAAATACTCGCGGAAAACCTCATTAGAGATGTGGAAAGGTTCCCTATAGATACTGGAAGCATGTCGTTTAGAGGGTTGAAAGATAAAATAAGATTTATCAAATTTCTACAATTGGTTAAGGAAGTTAGGAAGTTTAAAAATGAATCAGTGGTTAAACTGTTTCCCTCCAAGTTTAGGACTTGTAGACGAGTCAAATATCCAAGAGAATTGGGAATGAAGCCTGTGAGTTTGTTGTATGAAAGCTCTAGAATAGTAAGTTTTGAACAATTGGTTATAGAATGAGGAATGGTCCCAACAAGATTGGTTAAGCTGCTCAGATAAAGAAATTCTATGTTGGGTAAGACATAACCTATGTTCGATGGCAGAGTTCCTGATAGATTGTTGTGTGATACATCAATTTCTCTCAACCCTGATATGTTGAAGATCTCGATATCAAGTTGACCGTCAAATCTATTATCCCAAAGACTAAGTTCCTCCAACTCAACAAGATTTCTTATCTCTTTGGGTATTTCACCTGAAGAAATATGGAATAAACTGAGTTGATGATTCAATAATCTAGTATACCGATAAATGTATATTTTGCTACTTACCGGTAAATATATTTTGGTCAAGCTGTAGAATATGCATTTTGGTTAAGTTTCCAATTTCCCGTGGTAAGGATCCCTTGAGATTGTTCCTTCCCAGTAACAATTCTTGCAAGGAGGAGATATTGAATACAGAGATTGGGAAAGAGCCATTAATCTTGTTTCTCGCTATGTCTAACTTCTCCAAATTAACAAGATTTCCAAATTCTAGTGGAATTCCTGCAGTTCATAAAATGATCAGGTACAATACTATATTAATTGATCATTGAAGAAAAATGCATAAACCATTGGGATCATACCTGTGAAATGGTTATATCCAAGATACAATGTTTGCAAGTTACTCAATCTTCCAATTTCACTATGTATTGGTCCATCAAAATCATTATATGATAAAGACAATATTTGAAGTTGTGAACAATTTGACAAGCTTGTAGGCATATGACCATGAAACTTGTTCATTGATAGATGAAGCCCTTTGAGTATTGAGAGACCATTGCATAATCCATTGGGAAGATTTCCTGATAAGCTATTGTTTGTAAATGAAATGACTTGGATTCTAGAATTATTGAAAATTGTGAATGGTATAGAACCCGTAAGTTGATTATTTTCTATAGACAACCAATTCAGGTGGTGAAGATTGCCGATCCCTTTTGGGATATTTCCTTGAAGGAAATTAGAAGAGAGTCTTAAAGTTTCCAACATTGAGGCATTCGAGAGTGACGGAGGAATAGAGCCTACTAGCTTGTTTCTTCTCAAGTCTAAAGTCCTCAGATTTTTAAGATTTCCAATCTCTTCTGGGATTTGACCCTCTAAGAAATTGGATGCCAAACCCAAAGTTTCTAGCTTAGAAATATTAGAAACTGTGGAGGGAATGATACCAGTGAAATTATTATATCCAAGATTTAGAACTTGAAGTCGGTGTAAGAACTCAAACCAAGAAGGAAGCTCCCCGTTGAAGTTGTTGAAACTTAAACCAATAAACTTAAGTCGACACAAACGTGCCATTTCTTGAGGCAAGTTTCCCTGGAAATTGTTGCCACTCAAGTCTAGAGAAACAAGAAACGTGAGGTTTCCAAAATCACGGGGGATCCTTCCTGAAAGAGCCATGTAGGAAAGATTCAAGGACTTCACTCGCTGGTGACGAGCACCACAAGTGACTCCTACCCAATGACAAACAGAAATAGCGGGAGACCAACTTTCATTCAAGAAGTTAAAAGGGTCTGAAATAATTTGGGATTTTAAAGAAAAAAGAGCTAATTGATCAGTAGTAATGTTGGTTTGGGTCATGACTGAACTGGACATAACATAGTGAAGCAACAAGAATATTGTTAAGAGAAAAGAAGTGAATGTTTTCATCATTAGTGCAAATATTAGTAGGAAAATGGTATGGCTAATAACATGTGGTTTTGAGACTTTAAATAGCAATAAAGTCTCACTTAAATATTTATATATGGAGAGAAAGAGAGACTTGGAAAGTAAACCAATTAGTCTTGCTTTATTTTCTGAGTGCTTAATTAGTTGTAAATAGTCATACTTTCATATTCTCTAGAAATGTGTAGTCAAATGTAGTGTTCTATTTATTAACTTGAAGGAAAAGGATCATATTTGTTATTTTATTTTTGAAAAATAGTTATATATATTTGTCCTTTTAATCTAACTTTAGACATATATTTATTTTTGGCCAAGTAAGTCCCTTGTATGGCACCTACATAAATATGCTTTTATTCAATGTATTCTTTCTATTAATTTGTTGAGAAGAGCTTCACAGACATTTGTACCTATATTAAGTAAATTGTGGGGTTTTGTCACTCCCCGAGCCTACACCCTGGACGTGGCCGGCACTCGAAGACCATTGCTGGCCCCCAAGCGAACCCTTGTCCTGGCTTTCTTAACTCAGCGGAAACCTAACTCAACAAAATAACTCCATGCAATGCAAGGACATAAAACAACTTAACTGATAACATCTGGCCCGAAAAGGCAACTCCAGTCTCAAAATAGAATATTACATATATACATATACATAGATGAGAGACTCAAAACAAACTGACTGACTGTCTATGAAGCCTCTATAATATTGAGATGGATATTGGGACAGACCCCGCAACATCCTAATAAAACAAAACTAAGAGAGCAAAACAACCGAGTCCTCCGGAAAGCAAGGAGGCTCACCACTTATAAATTTGTCTAATTTTAATTTGATATAAAAAATATAAAAATAAATAAGACTTTTAATTTATGGATATGTAAAATATACAAAAATGTGTTTTAACTTTGTAGTCTTAATCATGCCCTCCCCCCCCCCCCCCCCCCCCCCCCGCCCCAAAAAAAAAAGAAAAAGAAAAGAACATTTTGTATTAAACTGAATAAAAATATAAGTACAACAAATAATTTGGAAACGGAGAAGTACTTATTAAATCTAGTTTGAACTCTTCAAACAAGTTTTTGTTCAATTTTTTTTTCTTCAAAAGTTTGAGGCTTTTCACAGCGTGAACACCAAGTTGTAGTTTGTGCAACATAAAATCATTGAACTTCTTGTCAAGTAGAAGTTGTTGCGAAAGTATATTTGTGGCAATGAAAGTGAGTACATATTAATTATCTAGATAGTCTTCTCATTTGGAGTTGAGTTATTCCATCTTCCTTGTTGCATCAATTTTTGTTGATCTGTATAATTTATCCACAAAAAATATTGCAATTGCATAATTGAATAATTCTCACAATCTTTCTTGTTTTAAGTAGAAGAAGAATAGAAAACTTACAAAATTCATAGATTAAAAATGTGAGAAAATCCCTCTATTTATAGACAACATATTATAGTATGAAAATGTGTTTATCCTGCCTTATCAAATAAGCCACAACCTTCAGAAAAATAACAACCATTCAAAAATGTCATAACTCGTTGAAAAAGACACAACCCTTCGAGAAGTAACTACTCATCAATGTGAAAAGATGTCAACTTTTAATATAATATAGAATAAATAAATATGATATGATATAAAATATAAAATATATACTATTGGGTGTTTTAAGTTGGGGTATTCTAGTAATTTAACATTCAAGTTAGAAAGTTCATGCTTTTAAAATAGTATAGAAGATATATATATATATATGTATATATATATATATATATATAAATCTTAATGTCATGTTAGACCATGGGTTAGCTTGGGGTCACTTGTGGCTCTTAACATTATTTTATGACTAGTGGGTAGGCTTATATTGTGACAAACTTAGTGTCAGAGTATCAAATATAAAGTGACCTAGGGTGTCTAAAATCCTTGTTAAGTAGAGTCTTATTTATTAGTGTGAAGTGCACCACATTTATAAATGAGAGGCTATGAAACATTTTATTAGGAAATACTTCCTTTCTTTCATACTTTCATGAGATAGAGTTAAACTCTATTTAACCTACATTGAATCCATGCTCTACGCATTTAAAGAATCATGCCTCCCAGAATAGCTTATGCAAAGAAAAACAGAGATGAAATTCAACAAGCAGACACTCCCAAACTATGTTCTTCTTCCTCTCCCAAGCCCGTTCTAGGCGGAGTATTTCATTCTTATAGGTAGTAGGGATTGAGGATGATGCTCCAGTTGGAAAACTCCCACATATCTCCAGATGGCGGCCAAGTCCTCATCCACGTGGCTTCTAGAGAGCTGGTGTTGGGTCTAGGCGGTGGGGCATCATCACCATCATCCTCCTTGTTTCCCTAACCTATTGAAGCCTGTTTTTCTCCCTCCTCACCCATCTTTTGACTTTTCTTACTCTTGTTAGCGCCTGGTTTCATTCGAAAAGGGTGGAAAAATAGGATCCATGCGCATCTCCACATCGACATCCATCAATGGCACCAAGGGCGGAGCTATGACTTGGCGAGAGTGGTCAGATGAACAACCTTCGTCGGAGAATTTTTTTGAGTATATATATTAAATATCAATAGTTTTGGATATATACTAAATGTTGAACACTTTTGACACAATAAAGGTAGACAGTCCGGCGGTTAAGGCCATGCTAAACCACCTCAATATTCTAGGTTCGCGCCCAACTATAGGCATTTTGTTTAATTTTTTTTGTTACTCCATTTTTTTGCTTAAAAAAGGCAAAACTCGAGCTTTTGTGGCCTGGGTTCGAGCCCAGGCTTGAGCGTTTCATTTATTTTATTTTTATTCTGTTTTTCTCTTAGGGTCTGTTTGGAAAGCCACCTGGTAATTGGAATTGGTGTAATTACTAGGGTAATAATTATCAGCCTAGTAATTACACTGTCTAGTAATTACACTGACCTGTTTGGTTGCCACACTGTAATTACACATGTTCTATTTGGATGCACAATTGCAATCATAAAATTATATAAATTTTAAAAATAAAAATTAACTATTTAAAATTTATACTAGACAAATAAGAAACTTTATAAATGACATTAAATTAAATATTTAAGACATATATTCTTTTCTGAAAATATATTAATTAATAAACATATTTTCTTTAACTAATATTATGAAAAATAATTGATTTATATTTTTTCAAATTAATATATTTCAATTGAATTGATCGTAAAAACCAAAAGTATGAAGTTTCTACGAACATCGTGAAATGCATGTTTGATAAAAAGATTAATATATAAATAAAATGTCATAAATTATTAAATGTTAGACAAAAATATAATCTATCAAGTCTAATTAAAAAAATGATGTGCAATGTGTTACGACCCAAAAATGGATGATGGCACTCGTATTATCCCACCAAGACAAGTCAGCCTAAAACTCAACTATTACAATAAAATGCGGAAATTTTATAATCAACTCAAAAATATCCCCAAAATCTGGTTGTCACGTGCACAAGCCTTTAAAGTATTACAATTGATTCAAAAGAAAAACACAAGTCTCAAATGACCTTGTTTCTAGAATAGAACAAGATCATAAATATGAGTAAGAAGGTCTGCTGAGATGACAAATAGCTACCTCAAAAATCCCCAAGAAGCCTTGGAAAAGAAGAGGATGGAAAGTATCACAAAAATCTAGGCTCATAACCTACAAAAATTGTAGAAGCAAGGGGTGAGTACCAAACCACACGGTACTCAGCAAGTAAACCTCTAAACACAAGCTAAGGGGATAGAATATGAGTACTCCTTACACCCTAACCGAACCTCCATAACTACAACCTGCATAAAACTAGCCCAACCTAACAGTTCACAATTTACAAGCATATATCTCAACAACAACATTCTAACGATCACATATTCTCAACAACAAGCTCAATATTCATCAATCACAACCTCTACAACTACAACCTGCATAAAACCAGCCCAACCTAACAGTTCATAATTCACATAGCAGACAGCTCAACAACAACACTCTAAAAATTGCATATCCTCAACAACAAGCTCAATATTCATCAATCAAAGTTCCACAGAAAGATACTCACAAGATCAGCAAAACACAATATCAAGTTCACTAATGATAAATATGTGCAATGCAATGGAATGCAATGTCAAGTATAGTGATACATGTCTGACCTAGTGATACACACCCGCTGTCTCTCAGTCTGGGACCCATGGGGAACATATATGTCCATGCATCCATCGCGGCGTGCGATACGACCCTCGATATATAGTATCTATCACAGCGAGCGATATGTCCGTCGATATATAGTATCCATCGCGACACGCGATACGTCCCTCGAAATGGTGCATCCTCTTATCACATAACACTTATCACAACCATATCTCAGAACCAATGCAAATGACATGTTCACACAAATAATGAGGAGATGACCATTTTCATAACAACGCACAATTCACAACAATACAACTGTGATACAACATCAATAATTAAGCAATGAGCCTTTCAAATCATTCTCAACACATCAAACACCAACAATTAAACACATTGCCTTTTATTACCCCTTTTTAATCACTAGAAATAATCAATATGGACAAGTCAACCCATCACCAAGTCTCATTACCTCCAAACACATATTACAAGAAAATACACAAATTCCATACACTTAACAAGGGTTTAGAAATCCACTTGCCTCAATTAATCAACAGTTCACTATGGGACTTGAGCCTTCCCTTTTCGTTGAGCTTCCAAAACAATACAATCTATTCAAATAAATAATCACAATAAGATTTACAAGATAACCACATTCATACTACTATAGGTCTAGCCTAGACTCACAAACTCATTCAGTTTGTAATCAAGTTCCTAATCTTGATTCCAACCAATAGGTCAAATATCATATTTCCTAAATTTCAAGTCTAAGGTTAAGTCATAATTTCTCCAAACATTACAAC